CATTTTATGCCAGGACTTTACCCACTCACGTTACTGCCTGCAGTCGATCATCGAGATGAGGAGAGGAAAGATTATTCACATAAACTTCATCAGTGTCCGGCTCCTGAATTGAAAAAAATGCTTCGTTAAATATCAAATCTAAATTAAAAGCTATGCCCCTGACAATCCTCTGGTCAACTTACCGTAAACACCGGCATTTTCATGATAAAACGAATAAATATTTTTCAGCTTTTGAAAACACGTTTGTAGAAAGTGACCAGTTGAAAGTACTGCAGGCTCATGTTAATGGCAAGAACAGTGGTTATGTAACTCTGCATCAAAATCAGAGTAGTTGGGCTCGTCGGAAAATTTAAACGTCTAAAACAGTCTGGGCTTTTCCCCGGTATATTTTGTGGTTTATGTGGTTAATAAAACATATCGAAAAAATATGTATTTGATCCCTAAAGAGGAGGCCTGAAACAGGCAACTAATTACCGAATTAACAACATCAATTATGTTTAACCACAGTCAGCCCAAGCTGGACATTTATATAAGGATTTGCATGGCCCAAAAAAACCTCGATCCTTTCTGTAATCTACGATTATCAAAGGATTTCAATTAAAACAGGTTTACCTTACTTAAAACGTGTGTTCTGTCTTTCCTGTGTGGTCTGCTAGTCGATTTAATCCCCTTTTATAGGTTTTTGTTGGTAAGCTGATTTTTATTGCCATCCTTTCCGAGAGCTTCCGAGGTTACAGAAACGTCAGGTTTTTAAAATTTGTTTCAGTTGTTGTTTTACAATTCCGGCTACCCTACGAGTAGTGGTTTCTCCAGGCCGGACGCTGCGCTACGAAGGACGTAGCATCTCGCCTGGAGCAACCACTTACAGGAAAAAATAACAGATTCCCAAAATTGTATATTTTAGGGTATTTAAAGAATACCCACAAAAATCCCAAATTTGGCAAAGTGAGACAAGTCCCAACCAGGGAATTCCCAACCAAGTTCCCTGGTTGGGACTTATCTCACTCTTCCAAATTTGGGATTTTTGTGGGTATTCTTTAAATACCCTAAAATATCCAAAAATGGGAATCTGTTTTTTTTTTCCTGTGACCGCTCGCAAGGAAAATTCCAGCTGGTAGGGTCGCTGGTAGGTAATTAGGAATCGCACCGAGATTTATCATCATTATCGCCTTATGTGTTAACAGAAGCCCAATCCGGCGGTTTTCGTGTCGCCCGGCGAAAGAGCTTAATCCGGTATACTGTGGACATAGTGTTTCCATGCAAACTTGCACAAAAATGTCTTTTTGCTCGAGCACGTTTGTTTGCTGGACTTGGTACTGTTTGCTAGTAAAAATTAAGCGATTTTATACTGTAGCTATGGACAAGCAGTCCAAAATAAGGGATGAATTAATAGGTTGATATATTTTACTGAAAAAGAAAATGCTCCGACACTGTTATCCCAAACTTTCCGTGCAAGAATTAAGTCGAGTTTGCTGTGTTGAAATATCAGATGTTCTTGTTTGATCATTTCCCAGCGGCTTTTGTTGTCAGTTTAAGGATTTTTCGCAAGAGACGTATACATTTTCTTACTGAATTTCCTGCTCAACTGAATAGCACTTTTATCGTTTTATTTTGTCTTTTCTCGTTTTCTGTACACACTAATTAGCACTACGTCCACCTTTTTTGTGCAATCAAAACCATTTCAACTATATGGACAAACCATCTCACGAAAGGCGATACAAGTGAGAGATCAAACTGGAAACAGTATATTTTTGATATTTTTGGAATCGAGAAAGTTATACTTATCGCTCCAAATTCAGTAAAAAGGTTTGGTTTTTCATGGTAAGTAGTGTTTATATCGAATAAAAAGACCTTGAAAACTGAGAAAGCATGTTTTCCCATAAAATCAGGTAACCCTTTTATTGAGCGGTTCTTCAGTCAATCCCAGATTGAATTGATGATGAGTCTCTGGTCGAAACGCTATGGTGCCTTGACCATTCCAGTGAAACCTCTTTTGTAGTACATTCACAAGAGAATGTTTATTTTTCAGAATTTTACAAATGAAATTTGAATTTTTTTTATACGTTTTACTTTGGCCATTTTTGGCCGTGAACGGGTTAAAAAAAAACAAAACTTTTAGATGACCGTATCCGGCCTTGCCGGGTGGGACACGGAAACACAGAAAATCGAGAGGGTGAATAATCAGTAAAACTAAATATTAATATTGATGAGGTCTTCCTCGTCGGTAATGATATCTTTTCAAAAGAAGTTAACAATCAAGACTTTCCAGTAACAGAAGTTAAAATGTCTTCACTCATTTGTGGCGTGGTCCATGTCTCAGTCAGTATTCAGTTGAATACACTTCTTTACATGTTTAAAACAGATCGCGGTGCTACTTTTCTTCGAGGGAAAAAAAGAATCCTGATTTCAAACCTTGAATAAACAAAATCATATCCTCGGATTTTCCGGGTGATTTATTGAAATTCGTGAACAAATCTGAGGCCAAAGAAAAAAGTTCGAGAAGACAGATGAAGTCTTGCCTTCGTCGCAGACGCTCTAAGCCTTCTCTATAGAGCACAGACTATAAAAATGGTTTAGGCGAGTGCGTAGGCCGGCTGCAACGAAGGCTAGTGAAGTCTCGCCTTTTCATTGGAACAGCAAATAAGTTTCTTCCTCATCTTCTCTTGTTTTCAATGATGGTGACAAAGGAACTTACGAAAGCAAAGTTAATAATTGTTCCACCACAAAAAAGTTATTTTAGCGGGGCATCTGCGAAGTTAAGTCTAGTTCACAGGACACTCTTGAGGCTGAAGAATTTTAAATATACTCATTTGTTACAAAGATAGACCAAGCAGAATAAGACAACATTTTGTAGAGTTAACATCTCCATACAAAAAAGAAGCGGAGAAGATGAACTCAAGTCACAATCAGCCGAAACACGAGTTCCCTTGGAACTGCGTTGCCGACATAGCTCTTGGTAAACCTGTTGATTTTTCCAATCTTGCCCATGGTATTCTTATTGCCCTCATCGCAATTCATGCCTTCACCTGCCCTATGACCATTTTGTTGAATCTGTTGGTGATGATCGCTGTGAAGACTAAAGTCCGTCTCCAGAGCATGTCTAACATTGCATTAGCCTGCCTAGCCTCGACTGACTTGATGGTCGGATTAGTGGGCCAGCCTCTCCTTATTGCTGTGACGGTCAACCTGTTAAAGACCACAGCCGAAGCATGCTCTCTACAGACTGCCGTCAAATTTTTCGCTCACTTTTTCATGCTCGCTTCCTTTATTCATCTGTTCCTGATAACTATGGATCGGTGTATTGCTATCACGCGTCCCTATGTCTACATTCAAGCCGTTACCAAGGCCCGTGTACTGATTGGCACGGCTCTTGCATGGACACTGACTGTAATCATTCACATCGTGTTCTTCATCGACCATGGATTGTTTGAAGTTATTAACAGTGTGCTTGTATCTGCATTTATTGCGATCATCCTTCTTTGTAATGCGATAGTCTATCGTGAGGCTCGCCGACATGAAAAACAAATAGCCTCCCAGCAAGTCGATGCTGCGACAAGAGAAAACTTTTTATTTCAAAAGCGAGCCTTTAAATTAACACTGACGATCATTGCATTTGTAATTATCAGTTTCTTGCCTATGGTTATTTTTAGGATTAGTATAGAGTGCCTGAAAGACATCGTAACCTTAGGAACGTTATGGGCCATACGTGCGGCTGCAAGTAGCTTAGCGGTGTTGAACTCTTTTGTTAATCCTTTGATTTATTATTTAAGGTTAAGACAGTTTCGAGTCGCGTTGATCGAATTACTGATGAGGAAAAATCGCAATGAAGCTGAAGAATTTGAAAGGAAGATATTTGGATCAAACGTTGTGGCCCATCGTGAATTAATTCAGAGGAGAGAGGGAGGGGAGCCGTAGGAGGCATTCCTGGGGGGAGGGGGGGAGAAGGAAACAAGTCAATGCTATGATTTACAATGAAACATGCCAGGTAGGGGAGAGAGAGAAGATCAATTTACGTTTCTGGGAAACTGCCCACCTACCCCTCCCCTAAGCCAACATTTTGCCCTAAGTGAAAAATAAGTGTTAATGTTAGCTTAGGAGAGGGGTAGGTGGGAAGTTTCCCAGAAACCTAAATTTAGAGAGTGTTGATTGGTTGTTATCAATAACAAAAAAATGTAGAAAACACTGGTGTGAAAAGAATGTTAAAGAGGCGGTGAGCATAGCAAAGGCAGCGGAATCTTTATTGTACATATATGTGCATTTAAAGAGTATAATTACTACATGTTGTATCGTATATTATAGAATGTTAACTCAGATTTCGTTGTATTGATCTCAAAGTTGTATGTAACTATGCATTTGTACCAAGCAAGTCTAGAAGGTCATGAATCTAGGGTAGAGGCACAGTGGGCCCGAGTTCCCACCTTATGTTTAGGCCAAAACGGCCGCCCCGGAGCTAAGAAAAATCATCCCTCCCTCTTATCCTCCTGCCATCTACTTACAATGATAATGTATATGCTCTTGGTAAAAAAATCAAGGACTTTCAATGAACAAAAACAATATTTCAAGCACTTTCAAGACCTCAAAATAAGAGTCTTGAAGTTCAAGGGTTTTCAAGATGTGTACAAACCCTGTCTGAAAAAAAAAAAACACTTACAGCCATACTGACAGGGCTACATGCGCTGATAAATCTTAGAATTTTTAAAATTACTACATCTGGGGCTTTATTTTAACCTAAAAGCACTACTCTGCATTGTCAAAGGCAAAAGACGAAATAACCTGGAGTGAGAGCTATGTCAAGCTAACATATCCCATTCATTCAAACAAAAGCTTCTATTAAGTTTTAGTTTGCACTGAAGTTAACTTTTAACTCTTCACGTTCATTCACAGATGTTGAAATTTGATGTCAGAATTCTCTATCTTACACTGAGCTGATTTTTCCTTGGCTTGTCATGTGAGACATGTAAAATCAAACTTTTGCTCACTTCCAGAACAAAATATAATAATTAAACTTCATCTTCATTCAACAGCATGTTGGGAATTCCATTCTTGATTGGAAATTTTCTTCCGGACTCAGGGCAGACCAGTGACCCTTCATCAACTTCAACCTGTAAAAATGTTTTAACCCTTCAATTTAGCCCCAAACAAATTCTCCAGAATCATCCCGATTCCCCATACATTTCCTTAAACAATTATTAGCGACTACTGATTGTGTTGTATATAACGTATCTCCAGTATGGCCTGCAAGCAAGCTCTCAGGGCTGGTCTGGCAGAGGGGCGGGAAAAAGCCTCTAGCACTGTGATGCTAATTTGCTGAGAAAAAAAAATGGCTACCAAAAAAAAAAAAGGTACAAATTGAGGTCCAGTACACACTAATCTAGATAAATCTGAAAAAAAAAATGGACAAAATGTTTTCCATCCACTTCAATCCAACCTCTAAACTACACACCTACATGCACACTGTACATATAGCTATTGTTTTGAAATTTTCATACACAGTTGGGATCAACCAATAAGCAATGTTCCACACATTTGGAAAAATGTTGTCGAAAAACGTCTGGATTAAACTGGGTGGTAGGCCAAACTAGCAGAGAGAAAGCTGTGCTTTCTTTATTATCAGCATACATGTAAGTGTAGATGGTTGGTTAACATGGAACACATGCCAAATATAAGGAGAGGTGGCTTAAATAAAGGTTTTAATAATTTTCTGAAAACTAACCTCGAGTAAAACATGGTGGACTTTCTTTAAGAACTCTTCATCCTTTTCATAGTCTGGGATGACTTCACTGGGCAGACCTTCAGACCTTCCTACCTGATCATAAGAAAAATAATGAAGTTGACAGTGTTGCAGTCTCAAACTCTTGTCACCCTAAGAGTGGTCAGCATCAAATTTCTCCTTGTAATATCAATGCTTTGTAAAATAGAGTGGTCATGAGAATTATGATGTCACAAGATGAATTTGCTTGATATTTTACCACCTTCTCCCCACTAATTCTGTAGGAAATGAATAGCGGCGACAAATGAGAATTCTAATTTTGATCTTAGGGTTTAAATGGTTAAGCAAAAACAGATCGCAAAAAGAGTCATAAGCAGAGACAGAAGAAAATGAAAATGATGTAAATTATGAGCCTTTTGTCATTCCTTACAACTTAGATTTTTATTTTCACTAAATCATAATCACTCTTACGATTCCAAAAACATCATGACTCTGATTCTAATAAAAACCAGCCTTAATATCAGCAGGCATTTTCTCCACATCGTTCTCCAAATACTTCTGTGGTACTGACAAGGAGAATTTGATCCAAATCTTTTTACTTGGTGATTACAGTTTTTCTTTATTCTCAAGAGTTTGATGTTTGATTAGCAATGTTACTTACAGAAAAATCAGATGCTGGCTGCTCTAAGAACATACAGGGGTTAAATCTTCCTCTCACCTGCTCAGCTGCTTTCAGAAGAGCACTCCATTCTACTTTAGCAATCATACGGGAAATAAACTCTGGGTTGAAGTCCACTTCATTTACAACAACATTAACAACCTAATAAAAATATAACATTAATATAAAACTAGAGGTTACAATAATTGTAAGTATGATGCTGCGGGCAGTTGCTGGGCAGTCGACCATTATCTGAGAAATGATGGACTGATGTACACATTTTGCTAATTATTGGGTCAATTAATAGCGGTGGAATAAAGTACTACAAGAGAGTCCTACAGTCCCAATTTCTTTGTGATTTGGGTCTTTATTAGCCAGTTTTTATAAAACAGGCATACAAATTTGAAACTGTTTTCCAGCACCACAATGTGTCACACAAAGCTCCTTCCCTGGGGAGGAGTGTTGTGTGACTACCCTTAAAAGTAACAGCTGCAAAGGAGATTAGGTAGACGACTTTAGCTAAGTATTTATTTAAGATTGCTCCCATTTGGCTAAATTGCAGAATACCTGGCCCACTAAATGTATAACTTAAAAAACTGCTCCTGCAGTCCTGCAGTTGTCCAATTTGCATAATAAATTCTGACATCAATTGCGAGAGCATGGGACAGCAGGAGCACTAGCATACTTTGTTCTATAAGCACACTAGTTACTTGACATTGACTGCAGGAGTACGGGACTGCGGGAGCACTAGTTGTATACACTTTTATATTCACTATATTATATTTATATTTGATTTGATTTGATTTGACCACTGCATTTTCAATGCAGTAGTTTGGTATTTGGAAAATATTCATTGTGATATTTAATTGTTCAATACCCCATTGTCCTTCTACAATATATATACATAACTTTTGAGACAGATATGGGGAGCAACTGAGAAAATTTTTCGCATCAGAAGATCCCAAAGATGAAAACCTCTAGACCACGTGAAAATCGAATCTGATCGAAGACTATGACTTTTGGTTATTGCCCAGTTTTCAAAAGAACCATGTAAAGAAATATACAACGGTGTTACCTCTATACCCAAAGGATAGCCATTCTTCACACCCTTGACGTGCGATGTTAACATATTATGCGTCAAAAGCCGCATATTTTTTATGAAAACTGACCAAAAGTTTAAAATACTCTACTACACTGGCTTTTTCTTTTTCAGCTAATCCGCTGGCTAATGAATGCAGGCTCATAAAGGGAAAAATTTCGAAGCGAGGCTGAGGCTCTAATGGAAGACACATTTTGATTGGCTTATTGTTAAAAAACGCGGGAAGTCGCGGGAAACAGCTTTTTCTCACGTGTGTGATGCGTTCAGAGTTCCCACGTTTTGCTACAATCTTTCGCTGAATGTCAACACGGAGGAAAATCACGGAAAACTTTAAGGTTTGGTGTAATCATTTTTCTCTTTAGCAATGTTTTTACCATTCTAATGAATGCAGAAAAGAATTTAGTTTGAGTAGAAATCGGGTGCGTCATTGCAAAAGCTGATTGTTGATGATATGGCTGTTTTGACGTTTGAAGAAATTAAGGTGGGAAAATCCGAAATTCACTACCTTTTCTGATCCTTTTTCTTTCACGTTTCGGTTTTTTTTTAACAGTTCTTTCATTTTTCGGGAGTTGGAAAAGAGTCTACTTATTTGAAAAGGAATTATAACGAGCATTCCATGCTAAAAATACTGTAAAGGCCACTTGGTTAAAATAGTCTCTTCACTTCGTGCGAGTTCAAAGGATCATTTTTAACTGTTTCCAAAGTTATTGGGGGTTGAAAGTTACTGACAAGCGATGTTTCTGTGGTTAGGTTTTTCGAGATCGGAGGAGAAAATAAGATAAACTTGCACTTTACTTTTTAGACTAAGCTTATTTACTAAAAGAGAAAACGTAGGTGTTTGTTAGTATAATCTCGGATACGATGTGGGATTTTTTGGTCTATTTTGTGAAACTTCCTTTTTTTAATGTTGTTTTTGTCGGTTGTTGTTACAGAATGGACGATGAGTTTAAAGATGTGTTCAAAGAAGCTGTTTTAAAAGAAGAGGAGACCATGGAATTTAAAGACAGAGAAGATCTTGTCAAACCGCAGAAAAGAGCCAAAATTGATGAGCACAGCTCAAGTGAAAGTTTTGTTTGCGTTCAGCAACAGACCCAGCAAGTTGAAGATCAGTGCTATCCTGCTACACCAGACGTTCGGAATACATTAGATGCAAAGCTAGCAAGTATCTTTCCCACCCAGTTTCCTGGATATTTTCAGAACATGGGTCATCCATTAAAATCTGCTGCTCATTGTGTTCAAGGTGCCATGCAGTCAGTGGTAGATGATTCTAAAGGACTGTTGCAAAGTAGGGAGGTTAATGGTGGATACAGAAAACTATCCACTGCTCAACCTTTTAGCTCACAGGTAAAAAAACGTATGGAGTTCTTTGAGGGTGAAGCTTTAATTTTTAACAAAATCTCCAAGGGTGAACAAGTAAAAATCACCCTTTCACGAAATTTTTCAGGGGTAAACCCATATTTTTTGGAGCCAGACCCATATTCTATAGATTTCTTAAGGGGTGAATGTAATTTTGTGGAATTCTTCATGTTAGAGGCCTCAACTAAGATGGTATGGGTATTACTAATTGCAATAGCCAAATAAATAGTGTTGCCTGTTGTAGCCCCTATAAACAACAGTCTGGTGTGGCAACTAACCAATAAAATAATAAATTTCCGTCTCTTTCCTGTGTTATTTTACTAACAGCAACAGTAGGGAGAAATTATGGTCATATTCAGGTTACCTTTCTATATGATTTGTGTGCTGGTTGATATGACAGGAAGGTTTTTGATGTTTGGCAATTGTATGCTTCAAAGTACTGGGGCAATCAAAGTCACGGGTATTAAGGCCCAGACATGGTGCAAGTATTTCTCACAGTGGTTAAGTTGTATTTTTAGCGTGCCTCACTCCTGATGTTACCATGTACAATATTGCAGCAGTTTGTTCTCCTTGTACCTCTGCAACATTGAATGTAATACATATATCAATTTTGGTGGGGGGGGAACTCCGCATATGAGAGGGGTGGGGATGCTCATCGGAAATTTTGAATTAAACCCCTAAAGGAGACCAATCTGGGCGTGGCCCAAGCTTTTTTGACCCCTAAAAGAGACCATGTTAAAACACAGACAATGTAATATTTTTATATTTTTTCACGTGCAACCCTACACAAGATCGTCACGGCTAAATATGATGGCGTTTTGCCCAGAACACCCTAAGTGAGACCAAAATCTGAAATTTACACCCCTAAGCGAGACGACGAGCATCCCCACCCCTTTCATTATCATTTTTTTAATTGCATACCTGCAATCTATAACATTAAACACAAATATAGCATTACAACCTTTAGCCTTCAGCCAATCACATAATTTTCACATTTAGTAAAATTATTAATTGTTAATTAACCAAAACATCACTGTTCATTGGGAAATGTTGAACCTTAGTAGGTTGTAACACGTAACTCCATCAAGACATAGTGCAACTTGTTGTGCGGAATTCAAGCATTGTTAACGCTGCACCATGTATCCTTGCTGATTTTTTGTCTTTGGTCATGAAATAACTTTGAAGTATACTGCTTTGTGTTGCAGTCAATAAACAGAGGCCAGATGCAGATGTGTTTGTCAACTGCGGTAGCATCATACAATATTGGGAGTCGAGTTGCCAATCCTTGGCATCTTCCTTATATCAATGAAAATGTTAGAGTGACTATGCCCTTTACCTCTACACAAACACGGAGTGAGAACCAATTTTTGTCAGTAACAGCAAGTGATTCTGGCCATAATATCCCTACTTCACTGTCTACATGTACATCATCAGTGAATAGTCACCTGAGACTTCCTGAACATTATCACACATCATCCTACTCTACAACAGTGCCAGAACTGCAACCAAGAAACATGTCCAGCGCAACTCTTCTTCCTAGACGTGCAACACAACCTCTAGCGAGGGCTCCTGTTATCACAGATACCTCACTGGGAGTACTTGAGACATTTTCACAGGAAGCCCAACCCAGGAGCACCCATAATTCCACTGTTCAATTTAAACATTCCTATTGCAGGGAATGGATTGGACAATCCAGAAGTAATGTGGTTACTCATTTTGATCAAGAGGTTCCAGTCGTGAAGGAAAGTGACTCTGGACATGCTGATAACCAAACAGAAGTTACAGCCATCCCAGAGTTTCAAACTGGAAGAGTTGATGCCAAGAAGTTTCCTCCTCGTTATTATGAACTGAGCTCTCTTGAAATAGGAACATGGAAGGTTAGTTGCTTAATTTCTTATCAAAATACCGTAAAATTCCGAAAATAAGCCCCGGGGCTTATATTTTTCAAAGGCCCTTTTTGAGGGGCTTATTTTTAGAGGGGCTTATATTCGGAGGGGCTTATCAATAGAGGGAAATTTGCGTTTCAAAATCGATTGGGCTAGCCTTAAAATTTACCATTTTTGCTTTGTGTTACTTTGTATTTGAGGGCAATTTCCTAGTACAAGCCCCCGGGGGCTTATATTTGGAGGGGCGATTTAACAGAGGGTTTTTTGCGTTACGAGTTTGGGGGGCTTATATTTGGAGGGGCATTTGAGTATTTGAGTATTTTCACACAAGGAAAGCTGACATTCACACACAGTTGAATATTGTTTAAATTCTTCCGAAATGTGTACTTCTCATCTAAACGAGGAAACATGTATTAACTTTTTGAAATCACAAAGGCTTTAATAAATTGATTGCATGAAGCCATACTAAAGCCTCAGAAAAGAGCGAAAAAATTTTGCAACACCACCAAAGGTTCCCCCCGAAATGATATCTGAGGAATGACTGGAGAAATTCCGTTACTGATGACGTGTCTCTGTCCTGATCTGGGTAGTGCTTCTGATTGGTTGTGCCACAAGGGAAATTTGCTCCAACCGATCAGAAACACTACCCAGGCCTGAGTAGTGACACGCCGTCAGTACGGAATTTCTACACTCATTTTTCAGGTGGCATTTTGAGGGGAAACAAGTGGTGGTGCTGCAAAAGGTCAGCTTTTTTTAGTGTTTTCTCAGGCTACCAATATACTATTAAATAACCATAATGAGGGTTGAAGCTCCTTAAAAGGTTCTGAGACAGACAACTGTGTTAATTTTCACGGGAAGAAAAGTGGGTGAACAACAAGGATAGCTGATGTTTGTTGTACCTCCAGTGATTTTAAAGAAGTCATTAATGTAGAAGTCGAGCTTAAAATTAGCAGAAACAAGAACTACAGCTAGCAATGGAGAATCATTCTTCCTCCCTGACCTACTGCTGTATATAAAAATATAATGGCCTTGTTTTTATGTGCCTAGAGGCCCCTGGCGCCTTACCTTTGCTCTTGGGCAACTAAGAAATCTTAGCTTTTGCATAGAAATTGTGTGCTGGGCACCCTGGATTTCACTGCTTCAGAGCTTCAGACTCTTTAGAATAATTATTTATCTCAGAGCACAGCCTTGTTTTATGTATTAAACCAGGAGGGTCAAAAGACTGTCTGTGAGCTATATGCCCAGTTTAATTTTGGTCCTGTTTGGGGTTTTAATCAAATAGTATTTTTCTGCTGAATATCTCCTTCAGAATAATTCCCTTGATCTATTACTTTTTAGTATCAGCGCAGGAGTCAAGCTGTGTCAAGGCTCAAAGTCATATTCAGTCAGAGGTAGGATTATTAGCCCATAGTGCCTGTTCTTCAAGCGAAGCCCTGTGTAAAGATGTAGTGCTATCATATTAGTGCCATCCAAAGGAGAGAACATGCTCACATTAGACTGTCAGTCTAGCAAACTGCCTACATGCTCTCATGAATGCATTATAGTCTGGTACTCCTGATCTGTCAGGGTAAAATTCTGACAAGCAACATGGCTCTGAAACATCGACATAGGACAGCTACAATGGCAACAAATGACACAAGGATGGGTAAACCCTTTAAACCCTAACATCAAAATTCAAATTCTCATTTGTTATCCCATGTGTTTTCAATATGAGGGCACGCATTCCAGTTTTCTCAGAGAATGTTGGTTTTCCTCGAAACGGACTTCAAATTCAATCTGGAAAGTGTGCAGTTGGGGACACAGAGGGACTCGGGTTTATCAGTTTTGGAGCTTTGAAGTGTCAGTTAGCACTCACTAGTTGGGTTTTTGGTTCTTTCACCTCAGAAATTATAGCCAAGGAGATTCCATAAGAGAGGAGATTAAATAACAAATATGTGCCTTCAATCATATTAGTAGTCAATGTTTAGTTACCATGATTGAGAGGTGTAGATTTGTCTCAAGCGTAAATAAATCCTTTAAATAAGATAATAAAATTATTAAGATTACACTGTATTATTGTGATGTTGTAGGAAATTTGTGTACGAGTTCCCATTGCATAGCAGTGATGTCACTGCACAGGAAAACCAACCAAACTCAGAGAACAGCAAATACATGGCCTGTATAGAAGTCCCTTTCATGACAGTAGTTGGTATAAACATAACAAGAATACTTCCAACTGAAGTCGTCATAGAAGTCAACACTGTCCCCACCATGTGGCTGGGAAAACAGATAATGCAGCACAGACCACGTGGAGTCGTTACCAAGCATCAGTACAATACGTTAAACTCGGTGGATTTGACAAATGGCCAGTTGACGAATGTTCCATATCACAAGGTACGTTGACATCAAAGGAAATACCCTATTTCCTTGAAGAAGTGCTAATGCTCTATTAAGTGCCCTCCCCCGAATAAGTGCCCATCCCCTTGGCCAAAAAAACAAACAAGGGCACCTCTCAAATAAGTGCCTCTTCCCCTCCCCCCTGACTTTCTTTAATAGAAGAGATACAAGGAAAACTTGTTTCTATTGCCACTTTATTGATACAGTAACTCTGTGAAACTGTTAAATGGGAGTATCGTGTACACTTGATTGTCTTTATTACCAAGAGGAGAAGTTAATAAGCGCCTCCCATGATTAAGCGCCCTCCTTCCAATGGGACATTCCACTTTTTATCCACACCCCCCAACGGAAGGCATAATTTAGTAATATGCAGAAGGACCCTGTCAGAATCTCATATTTTTTACTACAATACAAGGTTTCAGAATTAGGATTTTACCCACAAGGGCCTGTTAGAATCTTGGATTGTTCAGATTACTATGTACAGGACCCATGGGAATTGGGAGAGCTGGGACCTGTTGGTTTCACAATGTGTGTGATAAGGACCAGTCGGAATCCTGCCCTCCATACTGTGTGACGAGATAAGGGACCTGTAGGAATCACATTAAAAGATAAGGGCCTGTCGGAGTCGTACCTTCCATGACAGGGGGGGGGGGGGGGGGGGGGGGGGGGGGGAGTGGGGGGGTGGTGGTGTTTGGGTGTACGATGGGGTTAGGAAGGACCCGGCGGAGCTCCCCCCACCATATGGTGTGGAGAGAAAGGGGAGCTGGAGAGAAAAAAAAAAAAGAAGAGGGGCGGGGGGGGGGCTTCCTGACAGGAGGGGGGGGGGGGGGGGTTGGGGGGTGCTGCGGATAAAAAATGGAATGTCCTAATAAGGGCCCATCCTTTAAGTGGAAATTTTAAATTAGCACCTGGTCATTATTTGAGAAAATACAGTAAATGAATTGTAAAAAGAGTAATAATCTCCCCAATATTAAAGTATATGCTTAGCTTAATTAAACACTTGAAAGAGCATGTCTTCTAAGCTCCCAAACACTTGTGTTTGGCCAGAAGAGTTCAACATACATTTTTGTATGAACTTGTCATTGTGGTGTTTTAACCATCAGGTAGAGTCAAACCTTTGTGTACGACTGCATTTAATCAGTGACCACCAATCCAAAATGCCAAAGTTTTTAAGCTAAAGTTGACCCAACCAACTTCTAGATAAATAGAGGTGTAAAATGTTTATTAAATTATTCTTCCAAGTAGAACACCTGGTGTCTCTTGTGGTCTTGTATCACCACTGATATAGTTAGATTCAAGGGGAAATCTTGTTGCATTCCATGGAAATTAGGCTTAATTCAAACCTGAACAGTCTATAGCGTTTGTTTTATCATTATGAACTTATATTGAGTTTGAAGAAAAACATAGAAACTATATACTGTGTAAAATGTACCAGCCTTCTTAAAAAGTACAGTTGAACCTCAGCTAACGGCCACCTCTCTACAACGACCTATTTTTTGGTCCCGGCGGACAAAAAAACCACACATTTGACTCTTGTTTGAAACCTCTCTACAACGACCACTTCTTTACAACGGCCACTTTCTTCTGTCCCCAAGGTGGCCGTTGTAGTGAGGTTCAACTGTATTCAAAATGGTAACTGGTTCTTGTTTTTTGGAATTTCAGTTAACAGTGTCTTCAGCAACTATTGCGACTCATCTCATGAAATTTGACCCCAAGTTTTCTGCTCTTTTGAGAATCCCTGTGGTGATCAACACCAATAAGTCACTTCCAAAACCAATCAAGGAATTTCAGATTTTCAGTTCTACAAAGCGAAAAAGGACACACAAAGGTCAGTAGAGACCGATACATGGACATACAATACATTGACATTGCAACAATTGAATACCTGCCTACTTTTTCTGAGACAAATGCTTGAGATTGTCACCTTGTCATGACTAGGGTTTCCAAAAATGTCTCAGTGACTTTTGAAGATTTCTGATGACTTTCCAAGGACTTCCGAATGTTGCCAAAAATGTCTGAAGATGTTCTGACGACATTTGAGCACTTCCAAAGCTTAATTTAAAAGATGACAATTTTAGCATGTTTTGATTTGTTAGGACACAAAGTCAACCATCATTCAATGCCTTTTTGGATTTTTTTGTGGAAAATTGAATTGAATTTTCATTATTCATCATGTGTTAAAGAACAATGTGTCCAAATTTGTGAGTCAGGCATTAAAAATTGTCCTTGATGTGTGAGATTGATGTCTTTAGTCCTCAGGCATGAGACTCATGCATAATGCTTGAGAGTTGGCAGTTATACTATTGGTAAAAAATGGAATTTTTGACATAAGGCTTGATTTGCTTAAGTCCAAGAATAATGATTCAAAGTCAGGGCTTTCTCATGATCATCTGAGAACTAAAAGGGTTTATCTGTCACCTGAGAGTGCCAAATTTGTCACTTATGTCCAGGATCGATCTTGTTAGCAAAAATTTGCTAGCAAATTGCTTTCGCAATTGTCGCAAAAGAAATAATTGAGAAAAAATTATGTAAGAAAATCACTTACAAATATCGCAAAAATCGCAAAAATAACAAATCTAACAAGAATCAAGGCTTAGAAAAAAAAGAAACCAAGAAGGACCCCGAAATGTCCGCAAATATCGCAAAAGTAACAAGGATTTTTCTTGCTAGCTGAAAACACCGGTGACAAACATCGCAAAAATCGCACAAATAACAAATCTAAAAAGAATCAAGACTTGGAAACAGAAGAAGACAAGAAGGGCCCCGAAATGTCCGCAAATATCGCAAAAATCGCAAAAGTAACAAGGATTTTTCATGTTAGCGAAAAACACCCATGACAAATATCGCAAAAATCGCAAAAACCAAAAGTAAAAAAATTCCAGGCTTATAAAGAAAAGAAGCCAAGAAGGGCCCCGAAATGTCCGCAAATATCGCAAAAATCGCAAAAGTAACAAGGATTTTTCATGTTAACTAAAAACACCCATGACAAATATCGCAAAAATAACAAATGTAACAAAATTCCAGACTTACAAAGAAAAGAAGCCAAGAAGGGCCCCGAAATGTCCGCAAATATCGCAAACATCGCAAAAGTAACAAGGATTTTTCATGTTAGCGAAAAACGCCCATGACAAATATCGCAAAAATCGCAAAAACCAAAAGTAAAAAAATTCCAGGCTTACAAAGAAAAGAAGCCAAGAAGGGCCCCGAAATGTCCGCAAATATCGCAAAAATCGCAAAAGTAACAAGGATTTTTCATGTTAGCTTAAAACACCCATGACAAATATTGCAAATATCGCAAAAATACCAAATGTAACAAAATTCCAGACTTACAAAGAAAAGAAGCCAAGAAGGGCCCCGAAATGTCCGCAAATATCGCAAAAATCGCAAAAGTAACAAGGATTTTTCGTGTTAGCTAAAAACACCCATGACAAATATTGCAAATATCGCAAAAATACCAAATGTAACAAAATTCGAGACTTACAAAGAAAAGAAGCCAAGAAGGGCCCCGAAATGTCCGCAAAAATCGCAAAAGTAACAAGGATTTTTCATGCTAGCTGAAAACACCCATGACAAATATCGCAAATATCGCAAAAATAACAAATGTAACAAAATTCCAGACTTAGAAAAAGGAAGCTAAGAAGGGCCCCGAAATGTCCCCAAATATCGCAGAAATTGCAAAAGTAACAAGGATTTTTCTTGCTATGTGAAAAGATTGAGCAAGAAATATGGCAAAAATAGCAAGAATAACAAATTTAACGAAATACTTCTCTTAGAAAGAGAAAAGGTCAAGAAGGGTTTCGAGATGTCCGCAAATTTCGCGAAACTCGCAAAAGTAAGAGGAATTTTTCTTACTATGTGAAAAGACTGAGCAACAAATATGGCAAAAATTGCAAGAATAACAAATTTCACAAAATTCTACCCTTGGAAAGAGGAAAGGTCAAGAAGGGCCTCGAGATGTCCGCAAATTTCGCAACGTTCTTGTCCAGTAATTTTGTAATGCTTTCCATTTTCGCGAAAATGAAAGCATCAGTTACAAACGTGACACTATTTATAATTACTGACAGTAGCAAAATACTATAATATCAATCTGTGTATGCTTCTTTCTTCCATCAACATACAGCTGCAATGCATAGAAAGGAGTGTCGCTCACAGAAGGGCAATAAAAGCAATAAAAAGGGGGTGGTTAATTATATTGTATGACTCTTTTTTACGATCATTTTCTCAGTACTCAGTTTATTATCTGTATAACAATAGAACCTCCTCTATTCACGAAACACACCCTTGGGACCGAGACAATAAACCCTTCTCCTCCACGCCTGCCAGCCCTATTAATAAATCAGTAGCTTACATAAAACAAAGAAAAAATCATTTAAATCACACCTTAGCGGTAACTCGCTCTATTTCATTTCAAACAATACCTGCATATAAACAAGCATATAAGCATACAACCATATTGGGACAGCGCATTTTACCTTTTGGCTGCGTACCGTGGTGGAAGGAATTGGCTCTGACGATGGCGACCAGCAATGCATATGTCAACGGAATTTTGAATGTTAGAGAACAACTTCAAAAATGCTGGGTGGCAGATTTGGATTGGAGTCTCTTACCCGAAAACGTAGGAAAGGTAAGGAATGCAACAACACATGCAGTGACATAAATTTCTAGAAATTTGCCTTGCCACGACAAATAATTGAAAGTGACTTTCCAATAGACGACCGCATGGTCAGACCTTCCGAGACCAGATCACCTAATTTCAACAGTTACTTATTTTGACTAACAGAAGCTCGTTTTAGGAAAACAAAGAAGATTCATACTACTTGACCAACAATCGAAAAGGATCATAACACTAAATGCCCATGACAGATGTATTTCGAGAATTGCGATATTTGTCTTGGGTGTTTTAAGCTCGCAAGAAAAATTCTTGTTACTTTTGCGATTTTTGCCATATTTGCGAACATTTTGGACCCCTTCTTGGCTCTTTGCTTTCTAAGTCAGGAATTTTGTTAAATTTGTTATTCTTGCGATTTTTGCGATATTTGTCACGGGTGTTTTCAGCACGCAAGAAAAAACGTTGTTACTTTTGCGATTTTTGCGATAATTGCGGACATTTCGGGGCCCTTCTTGGCTTCTTTGCTTTCTAAGTCTAGAATTTTGTTACATTTGTTATTTTTGCGATTTCTGCGATATTTATCACGGGTGTTTAAAGCTTGCTAGAAAAATCCTCGTTACTTTTGCGATTTTTGCGATATTTGCGGACATTTCGGGGCCCTTCTTGGCTTTTTTGCTTTCTAAGTCAGGAATTTTGTAACATTTGTTATTTTTGCGATTTTTGCGATATTTGTCACGGGCGTTTTAAGCTAGCTAGAAAAAAACCTTGTTACTTTTGCGATTTTTGCGATAATTGCGGACATTTTGGGGCCCTTCTTGGTTTCTTTTCTTTCCAAGTCAGCAATTTTGTTACATTTGTTATTTTTGCGATTTTTGCGATATTTGTTACGGGCGTTTTAAGCTAGCTAGAAAAAACCTTGTTACTTTTGCGATTTTTGCGATAATTGCGAATATTTTGGGGCCCTTCTTGGCTTCTTTTCTTTCTAAGTCAGGAATTTTGTTAAATTTGTTATTTTTGCTTTACATGTCACGAGTGTTTTCAGCTCGCAAGAAAAAACCTTGTTACTTTTGCGATTTCTGCGATAATTGCGGACATTTCGGGGCCCTTCTTGGCTTCTTTTCTTTCTAAGTCAGAAATTTTGTTAAATTTGTTATTTTTGCGATTTTTGCGATATTTGTCACGGGTTTTTTCAGCACGCAAGAAAAAATCTTGTTACTTTTGCGATTTTTTCGATAATTGCAGACATGTTTGAGCCCTTCTTGGCCTCTTTTCTTTCTAAGTCTAGAATTTTGTTAAATTTGTTATTTTTGCGATTTTTGCGATATATGTCACGAGTTTTTTCAGCTCGCAAGGAAAAACCTTGTTACTTTTGCGATTTTTGCGATATTTGCTGACATTTCGGGGTTCTTCTTGCCTTCTTTTCTTTCTAAGTCTAGAATTTTGTTAAATTTGTTATTTTTGCGATTTTTGCGATATATGTCACGAGTGTTTTCAGCTCGCAAGGAAAAACCTTGTTACTTTTGCGATTTTTGCGATATTTGCGGACATTTCGGGGTTCTTCTTGCCTTCTTTTCTTTCTAAGTCTAGAATTTTGTTATATTTGTTATTTTTGCGATTTTTTGCGATATTTGCCGACATTTTGGGGCCCTTCTTGGTTTCTTTGCTTTCTAAGTCTGGAATTTTGTTATATTTGTTATTTTTGCGATTTTTGCGATATTTGTCATGGGTGTCCCAAGCTAGCAAGAAAAGTCCTTGTTACTTTTGCGACTTTTGCGATATTTTCGGACATTTTGGGGCCCTTCTTGATTTCTTCCTTTGCTAAGTCTAGAATTTTGTTACATTTGTTATTTTTGCGATTTTTGCGATATTTGTCACCGGTATTTTAAGCTAGCTAGAAAAATCCTTGTTACTTTTGCGACTTTTGCGATATTTGCGGACATTACGGGGCCCTTCTTGAATTCTTCTTTTTCTAAGTCTAGAATTTTGTTACATTTGTTATTTTTGCGATTTTTTCGATATTTGTCATAGGCGTTTTTAGCTAGCAAGAAAAATCCTTGTTATATTTGCGATTTTTGCGATATTTGCGGACATTTCGGGGCCCTTCTTGAGTTCTTCTTTTTCTAAGTCTAGAATTTTGTTACATTTGTTATTTTTGCGATTTTTTCAATATTTGTCATAGGTGATTTTAGCTAGCAAGAAAAATCCTTGTTATATTTGCGATTTTTGCGATATTTGCGGACATTTTGGGGTCCTTCTTGGCTTCTTCTTTTTCTAAGTCTAGAATTTTGTTAAATTTGTTATTTTTGCGATTTTTGCGATATTTGTCATAGGTGTTTTTAGCTAGCAAAAAAAATCCTTGTTATATTTGCGATATTTGCGGACATTTCGGGGTCCTTCTTGGCTTCTTTTTTTTCTAAGTCTTGATTCTTGTTAGATTTGTTATTCTTGCGATTTTTGCGATATTTGTTAGCGATTTTCTGACATAATTTTTTCTCAATTATTTCTTTTGCGAGAATTGCGAAAAACATTTGCTAGCAAATTTTTGCTAACAAGATCGATCCTGGACATATCTCAAATTTGTTGAAAAAAATTATGCAAAATGAAAATCGCTTGTATCAACTTAACTACATAGCAAGAACTAAACAGTAATAATTTGAGCTTAGGTACTGGCAAATTTCACTGGCTGGAAGAGAACTTGTCCCAGGCTCAAATTGGGCTAGAAAACAGAGAAGGTGCCATTAACAAAAAAGCTGGCTTAAATAATAAAACAAACTAAACCTGTATTCTCCCTACCACTCATTAGCTGATCAAAATTAATAAATTTGCCTTGAGATGTAACTCTTAGACTTGTGCATGCATCATAATTTTTGATGTTTGCACGCTGTGCATTAATTAATGATATTATTCCTATTCAATAATGAAAATTCTAAAAATGAATACTCTCTCTTAGCCTGAGAAAGCAGCTGCCATGTGGCGACGCTACCACTGGTTTCCTCGCGAAATGATGTCTGAGAAACGAGTGCAGAAATTCCATACTGTTGACTTGTCACTAGCCAGATCTGGGTAGTGCTTCTGATTGGTCATGCCACATGGGAAATTTATTTAAACCAATCAGAAGCACTACTCAGATCAGGGCAGTGATGCGTCATCAGTGTGGAATTTCTGCGCTCGTTTCTCAGACATCATTTGGCGGGGAAACCAGGGGTAGCATCGCCAAATGTCAGCTATTTTCTCAGGCTAACTCTATCTATAACAATTTAGATTCAGATTCAACTCCTGATCACTTACAGTCATCAACTTGTCCACTGCCGTTGAGTCACTGCTCCTGTTCTGCTGGTTGCTCGACTAAACGCTGTTCCTGTGTTAGGGAAAACATCAAGTGTCAGGACTGTAGATGTGGTGCCCCATGTAAAAACCCCCTGAATATCATGGCGGAGTTTGGAGTGGATGTGGACAAAGCAACAAGCGACATCTGTCTCATGCAGAAATTGCCCAAGGTGTGTTCAATGTCCGGACCCCCCTATCAGACCGGTGATCGTTTGTTACCACTTGTTTGACACTGAAATTCTTGCATTGCTAGGATCACATTTATCAAGATTCAACAGGTTGATGCTTTTGTTGGAACAATTTGCACCACATTTTTTTTTGGCACAATTAAATTTCAGGCATAAGTCAAAAATGCAATTTTGGAAGGGTGCCCTTTAATGTCCTGCACGTTTCTGAGCTCCCAAAACTGTTATGTCTGACCTTGGGTTCAAAGAAGGAAACTGATATAAACTGATTAAAGCATCGTTACTGTAAGGAGCCTGGGTGGAGCTGGTGGTACCATAGTATCGGGGATGAAGTAATTTGCCACAAACAACATTTCAACAGTGTTTTCTGAATCAAAGATTGGACCCCCCAATAAAAAAAAATTCATAGATCTGCCTCTGCGGTGCATCTGACTGATCGTATTTTAGAAAAAGAATTATTTTATACAAAAGTTTTGTTGCAAATCTCTTGGACTGTGATTTTTGGACCACTTTAGTGCTACATACATGTGATACAGAATGTTTTATTTCAACCTGATTTTCTAGTTATTGCAATGCATAAATGCCACAATATAAGTGATTTTTAATCCACTATCTCATCAAGCAGCTGAATTCTTTTTAGATTTTTGATTTGCGTGCACATTTGCGTGAAAGATCAGTACAAACCCCATGCTGTGACAGTGCCATTCCACTAAAGACCTGCTGTGGTGTTGTAGTCGAGTGTCCAGAGTGTGAGACTGAGTATCGCTACTCCTGGTGTACAGGCAGTTTTTGTGATGAAGAGAATCGGCCTCGAAACCACTGTGAAGTCTGCCAATCATGCAGAGACTATAGGGACCAGCATTGCTCTGTAAGTGATCTGTTTTGTTTTGTTTGAATGACCAAAAGGACAGATTTCCCTTCCTTTGAATATACTTCTCCTAGACAGTGACATCCCTATTCAAAATATATTCAAAACCTAAAACCATCATAGGAAGTACCCCCCTCCCTCTCCCTGGAGCACAGACTACATAAAGGTTATCTTTTAGATGTTCATTGAACCTTCAAAAATAATCGGCATTATAGCCAGTTCACCCCATTCAAGCCCAAATGAAAGACTTAATTCCCGGGGAGGAGGAGGAGGGTCCATCTGGGGTATGAAAGAGGGTAGTGTAGTTCAGTTGAGAAATGGAAGGGGCATTTAGGGTAAGAATTAGGAGGAATTCATCTGGGGTAAAAATATGAAAAAATAATCATAACATTATTTATGTGTTTCTTTTCAGCGATGTAACAAGTGCTACTTTGCTGGATCCTGTGGCGATTTCCCATGTCCCTGTAATGTCAAGTATGGGAGAAACACAATGAAGTTTCTCTAGTTAATTTAATCAACTAGTTTACCATTGTATAATGTAGACAATGAAGGGGAATGACTGTTGAGTTAGTGAGCTGTTCATGTTCAGACAGTCATGTGACTGTGTGACTGGTTCTCAGTGGGAAGATACATTATGGAGCTGTTGTTGTTAAGGAATGTACTGTTGTTTAAATGTTCTGTTCAACAGCGTTTTGGCCCTAAGTTGTTACAAATGTGGATAACACTTTCCACTGGATAAATCTCTCTCTAGTGGCTAATGTAATCGGTTTCTCTAATACTTGACAGTTGGATTGTGATTTATCCAGTGGATAGTGCTATCCATCACTGGAACATCCAGGGCCTGATATGTAAAAATTCAGTCTACATACCTACCTATATGCAACATCAGTGAATGATTCATATATGAAGTAGTATACGTGTAGCCACACCCTCCCCCTCTCTGTTTTTCCTTTGTCGGGGGGAAGGTGCGGCTACACGTAGGCTAAATATGAAGGGTTTCAAGCCTAGTTGATATGTTTCCAATTTTTATCTTTTGAGGAATGACACAGAAGCCAAATTAAGGCTTGCAGATACAAGAAACCTAACATGATTTATTACTTCGTTCACCAGATCGATCAATAATATTGCTCAATGCAGAGTAAAACAATTATTGTGTATTTAGACTGGTAGCAGACAAAAAGGTATAAAGCACAAGAAAGATGAAGCCTAGTAGTGGTGGGGGAGGGGGGGGTGGTGGAAATAGTTTGTGTTTCTAAGATGTGGGCACCCCCCCCCCCTACTCAGTAGAGTACAAACTTAATGCTGCTGGTTGTTACTAATGTTGTGTTGAGGAACTGCTACAGTGAGTCTAACAATTAGATCTAATCAAATGTAGTCCTGTACATCAGTCTGCTGTATACTTACATATTAATAATTAAAGGCGTTGCTCCATTTCCCGTTGTGCATGTTTTTGTCTTGCATCCTAAGACTTTCCTGTTAGATTTAGCGATTTCCAGGCGTTCAGATGGTAGAGCGCGGCTTTCAGACGATGGGGAGCGAGTTAAATGACCTACGCAGGGAAAACGAGTGGGAAAAACAAAGGGAGCCCCTCTTTTTTTTTCCTCGTCAATTCTTCTCGCGCGCTTCAGTATCTGAACGCCTGGAACAAGCTATGTTTGATTTCAAATGTGCGCGGTCACCAACGCTTTCACCTTCATGTATATTGAAACCAAATGTAGCCAGCGCGATTACAAATAACGACGTCACAATCTTGCAATAGGTTACACGTGCAGTAGATATGCAAAGTAAAATATGAGACTGATCGCAGTCTAAACAAAATGTGATTCTAAAATGCCTAAAATATAACTGTTTCATGTCACAGAGCCAAAACATTAAACGTTTAGTGTTATCGAGGTACTCCCCTTTAGACCCTCTTGAAGCTATCAATCGGGAATATAAACGATGCTGATGACATCAGCAGTTGGCATGGAAAGTAATGAAATGGAATGCAAGACATTCATTTGCAATATCGTCTGGTCTTAAATGCGTATGGTCGATATTGAAGTACAGCGATTTTTCAAACAAATCGAGTGACTTCATTTTTTGGCATTCCTAAGTCCGGGTGGGTACTCAAAAATGTCTTGTACGGGAAGGCTCCGCGCCGAAGTCCAACCCCTTACCCTTTTACATACCATTTTCGACAGAAAAGGTACCCCTTTCGTATACCCTCTATTGGCAAATGGTACCTCTTTCGCATACCTAGTTCAGTTAGAACCATGCATCCGTTTTAACTGCTGTAAATGCACCGTCTTTATACGAAACCAGGACGTTTTGTTGACTTTTTCGCGGGCGTAAAATGCCTCTGTTAGCCCTTTTAGGCTTTTTACCGACCAAAATGACAGATTTCCCTACCCTTTCATATACCTAAAGTCTGAAAAAGGTATCGTTTACATAATTGAAAAAGTTATCCCTTACATAAGTTTAGTAACATCTGTAAACCTGAAGAAGGCTGGTATGACCAGCCGAAATATTGTTATAAAAAACAATACACGTTGTTTTAAATCAGCTCTGTAGTAGTCTTTGGACTTCTCGTTCTTGGTTCTTTATATTTTGGCTGATTAGATCTCTTTTCTTGAGATCCAACGTTTACAACTAGCAGGATCTTCGTCCACGGTTTTGCAGTTTATTTAATTCCTTTCGGGCTGAGCCTCCCCATATAGGCCATTATAGGGAGTACCCCGGGATCCTAACACCCACATAATTATCAATATACCCAAATTAAGAGATCATCTCACAGTAATATTGGATAACTGGGTACCAGAAATTATTGGCATTATGGAGAATCTACGCGAACAGATTTCCCGCTGAACTTAAAAAAAGTGTGAGAAAAATGTCGCGATGACGAGATCCCTCGCCAGCCGCGAGCTCTGTATCTCTACCTACAGAAAGACTGCGCGCGTTCTTTTCCAACAATACACATGGCTTGACATGGCTGAGAACGAGAGTCGTCTTGAGTGGAAACGGAAATATGTTCCGTGGTTTCAGTTGCAAGTTTTTATTTCTGTATTTGGGCTTTGCATGCACGCACTTAAACTGGTCACCCAGTATTGGACAGTATATTCTAAGTCGAGACTAATAGATTTAGTTTTCGTGGCTTTAGCGTGGCTGGCTTATTCGTGTCGTGTCGTCAGCGTTGCTACTCAAATTTAGTGTATAGGGACCAACATCTTATCTTTAACTTGAACTGTGGCATTATGACAAAAATTTTTAACAAACGTTGTCTTGTGTGACTAAAATAAACTTTTTGGGGGGCAATAAAGTTTCATGATTTCGTGAGAACTGCCCAACCAGAGACAGCTGAACATTTTTTGTTGTGTGTGTATATGTGTGTAACGGGGGGGGGGGGGGGGGGGGGGGGGGGGAACTTTAACAATATCCTCAAAAAACGCCCCTTTCTTAAGTTCGCTACTGGGAAATACTAGACGCTTGACCGTTTCCCTTGCTTAACGTAGGCCACGCCGCATCAACACATTTCTGCCACACGGGAACGCCGCCAGGTCTCACAGGTGTAGGGGGGCGTGTGGTGGGAGGGTAAATTCAATAATAATTCAATAATAATGCGACTGTTTATCTGTCCAATTGAGGAATTTTGAAGCGAAGTCGGATTACCCGTCTCTAGTGTGGAAACGGCCAGTTACACACTATTTGCAATCGCGTGATCACTGGAGGCCGCACGAGTGAACAAAGATGCAAATGTTCTGAAAATATTAGAAAGTAGGATTTGTGCTAACAAAACAGTGATTAATTGTTTTTTTCAAATTGGCGAAAACAGAGAAAATCCTTTTAATACCGCCATGTTATGACGTCACTCTACACTAATCTTTATAACGTCACAACTTGAGTGCCTAATGACGTCACAATATGGCAGCCGTAATCCTTGGACCGGAAGTAAAAAAATGTACAAAATGGCGGGTCATTGTCTTCACCAAATTTGAAGGGAAGGATTCTTTTGCTACAAATTTAAATGTCCCATTCACACCAACTAAACATGTTTAATTAGACCAGATTTTGAAAAGTGAAAAACAGACACGGAAAACTGAAACACAGGTTTTTGCACAAAATTCAAATAAAATTCAACATGTACCAGCTTTTATGGAGGTAAAAATTTTAAACCGTGTTTAACTAAACTGTAGCTTTTAAACATTTTTAAGCTTGGTGTGAATGGGGCTTAAGTTATTTCTAAATCTGGAGTTAACAAGTATGACTAAGTTAGTTATTTTTTGTGTTTGTTAGTTAAATGGCTATTCGAATCTTTGAAGTGTTCGGCATAATGTACACACGTGCAAAGCTACAAGTCACAGAATTTCTCTGCTTATTGTTATCACTGTTGCGGTGGATGTTGCTACGTTAGCTTACAAAACACTCAAATGTAGCGGTTTGGAGTGAACTTCATGATATGATCAAATATAGACAAGTACGTGTCAATATTTGGCTAAAAATGATAAATGGTCAGTCTGATCTATAAATGAACATTTCTTGTGGCAGAACTCCATAAACGGCCGCAACCTCTCAACAATATTTCAGAGCAGTCTATTGACTAAGACTTTACTATCAGCCTAGCAAAGCAAATGAATATAGACAGGTTTCCTCTCCTGCCGGGAGCGGTTAAAATTGGACGTAGTCAGGTTTATGGAGAAATGATTGACTACAGATTGCTCCTTGGTCTGAGCAAGGGATAGCCTGATTCTCAGACGTCTTAGGTCGTTCGCGTTCCCCTTGCTTCTACCCGAAGGAGCCGCGAACGACCTCGAATGTCTGAGAATCAGGCTAAGCAAGAGAAGGGGGAACTACAATTAGATATCTTTTCTCTTCCACCCTTCCTCGAGTGTTCATTACGTATACGCCTTTTTTCATTTCATTTTTTAAATGCTTACTTTCCCTTTTCACATTTTCAAACGTCTGACTTTTTCTTTCGTCCAGAAGAGGATTTGGCGTATTGAAATTGCATTCCTATCATAAAGAAAGAACTGACAAAATTGGAACAGTACCTCATCCTTTGCTGGTGCGAAAACAAGACGATCATAGCAAATTAGTCAACCTTCCATTTGTCGCTTAATGAGGGCACAATATTTTAAACAAAATAAAATAGATTCGATGGATGCTGTTCTCAATTCAAAGGTGATCCATAATTTCGAACTTCCGAGTTTTCCAATTACTGGCATGAATATCGAACGGAAATACGCAAGTACGTTCATAAAGTGCTTCCTAATTGAACTCCATTAGTCGTTAATTGAATTCCTCTCAAATAACTCTTTTAAAGAAAAGTACACAGAAACAATATAAGATTAATTCATCGTGGAAAGAAAATTCGCTGCAGTGAGAAGTCACGTAGCGGAGATGTAAATCATTACAATGAAAATTTTAAACTCACTAAAAATCAGCTCTGGTTTGTTAGCTTTTTGGAAATATTTCAGTAATGACATAGAACATCGCTGAATTTCTGTAATTAATTATTTACACGCTTGAAAAGGAGCTCAACTTAAATGTTTGTTATGTAACTGGCTAAGAAATAGGAAAACCTACTTCAAAATCTCAAAAAATATCGGTAAAAATTATAATCGAGAGCAATATTGATATTTTACCAAAGCGATGTTCTGTGGGAGAAAATGCAATCGGAAATATCAATGCAACCTTATCAGTTAAAAATAGCACAATACTTTTCAAGGTCCCATGCACAAGATCTTATTAAAAATTCATGACACTGGTTTTCACTAGTTGAAGTAAATGCAACGGTAGCAAAATCTGCCATTTCGGCCTGAAAGGCCTGAGATAGCTTGCGTACCAGGCGCTTGGAAGTATTAAATGTCTCCTTTGCGCGCTCCGTTCTTTCTTGATCTTGCGCCCATTACTTCCAAGCAGTCTAGGCCTGCTGAGAGAGCTAACAGACACATTTCGTGGCTGTGAAAGAGTCGAGAAAACGTTCTGGTTTTGTGATTTATTCCCCTATATTTTATAGCATTTACAGCAGCTTTAAGAGATGCAAAGTTCTAAAATTGGTATGCAAAAGGGGTACCATTTGGCAAGAGTAGGTGTGCGAAGATTGGGATATTTTTTTCTG